TATTCAAAGGATTTAAATACACTCACCAGCAGGAGTTAGGAATGAAGCCATCTAATTAATCTTATATTCTTTTCTGTGGAGAAGATTTTGTAAGTTATCTGTGAAAGAAAATGTAAAATACTTCAATTTTAAATAGTTTCCTACAAGTGACAACATATAAATTTATTAATAAAACTGGCGATAAAATATTATAAATTTGAAAAAATCATCATTGTTTTGTCTCTGGAGAAGATGCAGCTTCATCTAAATAAGTCTATCCATGCTTTGATAAGACATTTAGGGGAGGAAACATTATCAATTATTTGTTTGCACTCAAGAGCTTCCAAGCTTCCTCTTCTGAAATTTCAGTTTACAATCTGCTAGATATGGAATTAGAAATCTCCATAGATCTTCCAGACAGTCTGGAATTACTGGTTGGATCCTGACATCTTACAACTCTGTTTGCTTAGGGTACTCACGGAGGAAACATATTTGGCTTTTTGAGTGTGTGGGTGGGAGGGGAAAGGAGCTGTCACTTCCTGGTTCTTAGCAAGAGACCTCTGAATTCATTGTAAAATTGGAAATGTGAGATATAGCCAGACAAAACCTTAACCCGCAGAATATTAATTAAAACACATTAAAATGGGTGGTCCTTCATTATAAGCTTTTCCATAGTGGTAGCAGAGCAGTCTCATGGCATTGTTAAGCACTTCAAACTCTATCACCAGGCAATCCTGTCTAGTGTGCATCATTAGCATGTTTGTCATCATCATCAAATTAAGCAAGTTGTGTGTTTCCACCCATTCAGATCACAAGGTGTGAATATTTTATACATGTATAAAAATAAAATAAGTGTACATATACATATTTTTTTTTTAGCAACAAGAGCAGCATCAGGCTTTGATTAAACAGTCTGGGCAATGCTGGCTCTTACTGTTTATTATTTTATGAAGTAATAAAAAGACTGATCTTCAGTGAATGAAATCTGACCTGGTGTTGAAAACCCAAGTATGGTGAGAACACATTATTCTGTTTTGCTGGTGCTGAACTGCTTTTTTAAAATTTGTTGAAGTTTAAACTTTTGACTCCGGGAATGCAGAGAACTCTGTGCAAGTCATCTAGACTTAATTGCACTTGACAAGGAACTTGGGACTCTAGAAAACAAAAGATCTTGAGTTTCTCTGTCTAGAGTGTGTGAAATCATTTGTACTCTATAGATGCTTCATTGACTGTAGCAGTTACACGGAGGGTTTAGACTTTGCTTTAGGTGTTTGTAATTGGTGCCTCCATTGAGCTAAGATGAATCTCTCAATATCTTTGGAATAAGAGAAACAAAGCAGACCTTGCCATTGCAGCTGTGGCTTTCCTAATAATGGCTACCTTGCTTCATATTGGTAGTCTTTAATAATTGCTAAATATATTTGGAGGACTACACCAGATGAAGATTAGTAAATAGCTTTGGGGGGTTTTTTTATTATTATCAGTTGCACTAATTTTTTCTTTTTCCTTATTCTGGATGGATTTTTTTCTTCTTTTGCTCTTTTGTCTCTCTTTGATTTTTTTTTTTCATCTGTCTTCGTTTCCTTCCCTTATGCTTTTTTTCTGACTCTATCCTTCCTTTTGCTTCCTGGCTGGAACATCCAAATTGGTGTTTTAATCAGCGAGGAGCCACAACATAAAACACAATCTTTCATCTGCAAAATCACAGATACATATGTGCTATGAAGGAGCTTGCTAAGAAGACTTTCGATACTGTTTCAGGTGCTGTTTAAATCATGTAAATAAGTGTGCAGCTAACAAATGTTTGGGTGTCCTGGGCATCAAGAGGAGAAGGAGTCCATTGTGCAGTTTTTCTTCCCCTAAGAACAGATGAAAGGTCACAGTTTTTAATATTTCAGTTTTCCCTGCACAGATGCATAAAAATTCTTTCGTTTTACGTTATTTTGGACATTATTTTCTATGTTTAAAGGTTTATCCCATCTCTGTTTTCTGATACATTTTTTTTTTTTTAAAATTCTGGCAACTGAGCCAGAAAAGAAAGCAGCCAGTAAAACATTTGCCAATTTTTTAAAGTAAGGAAACCCCAGCTGAAGTGAACAGTAAAGCTACGCTTGGGTAATGAATAAACATTCATTCAAATTTAAGGTTTGTTGCCTCACTCTGTTTATTACTGAAGTTGATTGCTGCTACTTAACTCATCGGAAATGAAGCGTGGTATGTGTCAACAGAAACAGAAGAACTGGGAGGATGACCATAACTCTGCAGAGTTATGTGTTATGTTTGATGTTCAAACATAATGGTATACACTTGAAGAGCTGAGAAATGAAAATGAAAGAAGAAATGTCTTCAACAGTGGCCAGAAGCTGTGATATTGTGATGGAAATATTTCATCAATGCAAAAAGAACTGGTCCACCCAGAGGTTGCTAACTTTTATATATTTTAAACTGCAATAGTATAGGGTATTATTTGTGTAATGCATTGTTTTTATCCTTCCAAAATTTTTCAGAAAGGCTGTGGCCTTCATTGGGGGAATAGAAAATTCACGTCTCCCATTTAATTTTGTAGTATTTCTTCCATATTTCCTATGCATTTTTTTAATGGCATATAAAATCATCTTTTGTTCGCTAAGCTAGGAGTAATTATTTATTTAGTAATATTGTCAATTCATTTGAACCAAAAAAATGGAAAGCCTTTAATTACAATAGAAAAATATGATATTTCTGAGGAGTTCTGCATGTCTTATGTGCTTATATAGAATATTTCTGAATGCCAAGCACCTGGCCATTAAACTTTGCTTTATTTTTGTATTCTGTTGTCCTTTATTAAACATATAAATTTTTCCAGGAGAGTGAACCTCGTTTTTCACATAAACAACTGACCAACCAACCAAAACACAAAACCCCCTCCAACTTGTCAAGATCAAGGTGATTTATCTCAATAGGAGGGAGGAAAAGGATGCTTTTTTTGTGTCTTTAGGCAAGCAGCTGGAGTACAATCAGGTCTGACAAGACCAGCATTGAAGATTAAGTGCCTAGCCCTCAATTACAGAAATTTGCTTCTAAAAGGGCAGGTTTTCCTTTTTTCCCACATGCATTTACGGCTAAGCATTGTCTTCACAGTGATGCGATTGTACCCGTGTCCAGCTCAGTATTTCGGGGTGCAATTGCTGCAGTCTCTGCTTAGCCTGGCTGTGTATATGCTGTGTTCAAGTCGATTGAGGGTTCCTATGGGCCAGTCTGAGTTGGGGAAGTTTGTTACAAATCCTGTACGCTGAGTTCTTCAGGTATTTACAGGCTCAAACTGAGCTGTGACGGTCTTTATAGGCTATTCACATCAGAGCTAAAGCAACATTGCTGGGAAGCATGAAAGCTTCCTCGTTGTTCAGTCCATTCTGAGCAGGATGGGGACATTCTGCATGGAATTTCTGCATGTTATGTCTGGGTGATGAAGCACTGTGAGCTGCACATTGCCCGCACTGAAGTCACTCCACCACTTGTGGAGAGTCTCCCATGCAAGCCTGCTAAAACCCCTTGAGGTGAAACCAAGAAGCAGCTGTAGCCCTCTCTATTCCATCCCCCACTTCCCAAAGAAAGAGGCAGAGCAGTCATGGAATTAAAAAATAGTTCCTCAAGCTGAAAAATTGCACCAGGTTACTTAAGACCACTCAGCATTTTTTACTGCCTTGATGCACCAGTACCTTCCCCTCTGTTCCACCCTGTAGGAATGTATGCACATAAAAGGAAGATGAAAGAAGTATTAGCTGCTGAGACATTACTATGAAGTGCCTGGTAGACTGGAAAAGTTGGCTTTTTCTAGAAGAGAAAATGACAAGCTAACAGTTCTTTTTATGACCTTTTTACCATGATATCATAAGTATCCATGGTAACATGACTGTTCATTCAAGCAGGTACGTAGCATCAACGTAACAATAAATAAAGTTTTAAATTAATGTGATTGAACAGAATGTGCTGCCAGGTGTGCTGAAAACTAGAGTTGGGACACAGAAAGTCAGAAATTAATTATTTTGTTCCTTTTTGGCTGTCTATATCACCTTTTCATTTTTTCTTTTACCTCCCATCACTCTCAGTTTGCTATTGAAGGATGTAACTTACTAATTTTGTTTGTATTCACCATGTACCTATCTTATTAAGGGACAATACTAATTTTTAGAAGTCTTCCATTAATTTCAAACAGTGAATTTCTGTTTTCTGTGATGGAATACAAAATTACTCTGAATGCAAATACTAACCAGTTTAAACTAAGGAAATGTTTGTTTTATGCTTGTGATGTATAATGTAGTTTCTGGATGTCTTTTTTAAGAGCAGAGAAGCCCATAGGTGAACAGATATCTTTGTTGTAATGACCGCAATTCATTCGCTTGCAGACAAGTTTGTTTGATTGGGGTTTTGCAGTATTGCGGAGAAAGATTCCTTCTGTTTAAATGTTACATTTTCCTATGATCTGCAATCAGATGAACCTGTGTTAAGGGAGGCAATTATCCACACGCTGAAAACATTTTGAACCAAATTTGCCGATTTATGTAATTTATGATCAGTTTGGGAGAATACAAACACAGGAAACGGAAAAAGGATATTTCTTTGAAGGTCTTGTATGGACAAGGGCTTGTATGTTTCATGTTAATGAATGGCTTAAGGATATTTATTTATTTGACGGTCTTGTATGGACAAGGGCTTGTATGTTTCACGTTATGAATGGCTTTTAGAGCTGGCATTGTTCTAAATCCTGTTCTGGAAGCGATTTCTGCTCCTACCCTCACGTCGATAAGGGGTGAATGATGGAAATAGTGGGCTGAGTGTTCCTGCCTTGCAGAGGTGACACGTGGCTGTGTGTACTGACAGGTTCCTTTGGGGCTCCTGCCTCCGGATCACCTGCCTTGTGCATCACATCACATAAAGACACTAACTGCAGCGTACTGCTGGCGTTTCTACTGCGCTTTCTCAATTTTTATTTCTTTTTTTCCTCCCAGGAAGGACTCCCAAGGAGCGGAGCTCCGAGCAGTGCGCCGTGCTCCGGCGCTGAGGGGCGCGGCCTGGCGCAGCGGGCGGGGCGGGCTGGAGCAGCCCGGGGCGGGCTCTGCGCTCCGAGCTCCGCGCTCCGCGCTGGCGGCTCTGCCTCCGATAGCACCCGCGGAGCTCCAGCCCCGCTCGGCGTTCCCTTCCTCACGCCCTCCGCCCGTCCGCGCCGGCGGAGGTGGGGTTGGCGGAGGCGAGGAAGGAGCCGGTGTGAGGGGAGCGGAGCGGAGCGGCCGGAGCAGGGCCAGTATGAAATTCCTCGCTGCTTGCTGCGTGCTGCCTCTCTTCTCTGCGCTGGTCTCGGGCACTGGGTGAGTACCGACAGCTCTTTTCCTTTGAGTGCTCCTGCTTTGTCTCCTTTCTCGGATTTGAAGAGAAATAATACAGATTTCAGGTCTTACTGAGGTGTTAAGTTTAGAGCAAAGATCATCTCTGATTCTTGTCTGGCTCCGGCTGCTGATCGTCTCAAGATTGGTTGCTCTTGGTTGTTGTTTGTTTGTTTGTTTGGGGTTTTTGTTCGGTTTGGCTGTCGATTTTTATTATTATTACTATTTTAATGCTGGGAAAGAGATGCTCCTGTGTAATTTGATGCACAGCTTGTGGGGTGTAACAAGGCAGTGACAAATGGAGGCTTTATATTAAACCAGCCGGACTCTATTTCATTGTAAAGAAAGACAAACAGGTGAAACAGAGAATTGCTAACGTTTTCCCTTATAGAGTGCAAAAAATTTAAAATATTTGAACAATCTCATCTCAGGATTCTCTATCTGAATAATGACCAGGGACTTACTTTTTTTTTTTTTTGCTGTGAGATACTGTAGCGTTATCTCAATCCCAGTAAATGTATAAAAAGTTGCTGCAATCTAGAATAATTCCTTTCTGTGAAAGTGTAGCTGTGAGGAAAACATGAACAAAATCTCTTGCAGCTTAAAAATAAACCTGATCTGACCATGCAGTGTTCTGATAAGATAATTTGTTCTGCTCAGTTGCTCAGAGATAGTATATTGTCTATGTTGTCAGCAAAGAAAAGGTGAAGCTGAGACACTTTATCCCATTGTCTTGATGTACACAGATGAGAAATTAATGTTGGATACAGACCAGATCTGTTATGATACTACTGTTCAGACTGCTCAGCTTCCAGTTCCTCATCAGTAGATCAAACCAAAATTTTGACTATGGTATGTCTCTGCTGTGTTGGAATAATAACACAGAAATAAGTGCGTAATAAGTAGAAATTAGTCTTTAAAGCATGTTCTTGTAAAGCATTTCAGGAAAATGTGACTTTTTCCTTTATGCTGTGTCTCCTCCTGTGAAATGGGCATCAAAGCAGCCTTTTGCAGAAGCACTGCATGTTTTAAGGCTTAAAACATGAGGCGTTCACTGAGATGTAAAAAGGAAAGAAAAAAAATGTGTGCCTGCTACATAGTCAAGTAAGGAACAGCAGGAGCCACATACACAGACAAATAATAACTGAAAATTTCTGAACAGGAAAATGTCTGAATGCAGGAAGAAATCAGGGCATTGCTTCAATTATCCAGGAACAGCCTTACTTTAGAATGAATGTTTATTGGCTCAAGGAGGGTACTTTTTTGGTAACATTTCTGGTTAGGGGTTCAACAGTGCTGGTCCATGTGAGCCATGGTGATGTGCTTTGGAATATAGCGCTTGGAGAAATAGATTGTGGTTCAATTCTTCTGATTTAATAAAAGGTCAAAGGAAACTTTCACTAGCAGTCATGTGAATTAATTTGGATTAATAATTTTATGCTCATTAAAGAGTGATGCATCCTTGGGAGAAGAGTTAGAATGGAGAGGAAGCACCAAACTGGCTTTTGCAGACTCAGGTTTGTATCTTGCATGAGCTTGTGCAGATTAACCTGTACAGAGAAGAGATATAGAAAGCTTAAAAACTGCCTGTACGTTCCTGAGAGTCATGGTATTTAGTGTAGATCCCTAAAATTGAGTCCTTATCTTCTTGAGCAGATGTTACCAGTATGAGAAATTAAGCTGGATAGTCCTAAAAAAACTTAATACATTCAAATCCTCCCTCAGCTTTCAAAAAATCATTGGAAAGAATATCAAGAAGTTGAAATTGGCATGTGGATGCTAACTATGGAAATCATAATTCTGACGAGTGTGTATATTTTCATAAGAGCACAATGTTGTGGCCTGTGATGGTTATGTAATTGAGAGATGAAAATGATCAGTGGGAGAGAAATTCCCCTTAAAATTCCACCCAAGTATAGTATGTGTTGCAAAGTGAGTTTTGGTACCAGATTGGTCATCTCATTGCAAAGGGGACTGAAATTCTGTTGTAGAGTTGGAGATTTATAAAAGTCCTGGTCTAATCTCTTCAGCAGTCTTCAGACAGTTTTTAACTGGCTGTGTAGAAGATTGAGCTCTACATTTCAACAGCACATACAGAAGTTTAAAAAATGCAATGCTGTCAGCATGCCACTTACTGGAAAGAGATAATGCTTTAATCTCTTTCAGCAGAAGGCAATTCTGCCTCTGACAATTAACACTTGTTGTAAACCTATGCCTAATTGACTGGTTGGACCCAACAAGGTAGGTTTGCAGGACTAGTTGTTTTGGAGAAAAGCAGGGTACAATACCTTACCATGTGAAATTGTTTAGCTAAGGCAAAATACTAACTTTGCAGGACAGAGTTTTCCATCATGAGGATTTATTTTTGTAAAAGTTTGTACTCCATTTCATACATTGGTACTGAAAATAGTGAACACAGTACTTGTTGCAGAGGTGGACAACTCCTGGATTTTTGTTCCTTGTCAGGCAGTGATGGAATCCTTTTTGCATCATGTTATGGTGATAGTTTTGAAAGATCTCAGCATGTTTTCAAGCCTAATTGCAACCAAATATGAATTAATGAGTTAAGCTACGTTAAGGCAATATGCAATCTTATTTGATAACATTGTTAAGAAGAGGAAAGCTATCACCATTATTTCATAATTGTATGTAACTTCTAAACTTGGTCTAAAACCATACACATTAATCAATTGCCCATAAAATTACAGAAAGTTCATGATTTTGAAATGAATGATCATTTCTACATTATCTAAACTGGATTTTGGTATGGCTCTGAGACACAGTGATAAGTCTTAATCATATTTCTGGTCAGTTGTGGTGCCATAGTGGTCATAAGATTGAACTGAATTTGTCTATCCAGTTAAACATGTATGTTTTGATGGCAAAAGTAAAAATTACTGCTCTAAAATCTGTCTCTCAAAATGTAAAGAGGAATACTTTTTAAGATTAACTTAGCTTGGTAAAAAATATGAAATTGGTGTTTTCCTGTCCACTTTTACATTTCCTTTGACATTTCAATTTTGGCAGATTTAATGTGATAAGTGTTATAAGTTGGTTTTTTTTCAAATGATGCTGAATACAATAGAGGGTTTTCATATGGCATCAGAAATGAGTCGCACTGCTCTGAGAGTTCAGGGGGCAGATTCAGTGCACAATAAGCTCAGGGTCTTATTCTGTGGCCACTTGCTTGCTTTTGTGGCCCCAGACACCTGAATAGTCTGACTGGAATGCTTGTAAAAGGGAATCTTACATGAAGGCAGTCATTGGGGTCAGTAACTATGGTCCAGATGATCTTGGCTAGTGAGACCTCCCTACTTTTAGCTAAAAGGGCAGTTTTCTGAATATTATTTGAACATTACTATTGAAATGCCTAAACAACAAAATACTGCTCTTTAGAAGAAGCCTGATGTGAAACAGAGTTTTCCTTTTCTTTTTTCCTTTTTTTTTTCCTTGTGACAGCGCATTCCTTTCTGTCCACATGTGAAATACGACAAAGGTACAAGACACTGAATAATTTGATTGCAGTACAATGCTTCTTAGTAGAGAACAGGACCATAAATGCAACAAGATGCACTTCACTAACAATTGTAATAGTTCTGCTACAGCAACTCATTAAATGAATGTAAAACCACCAGGGCTGTAAAAGGCAGAAGTTTTTAATTGTGGAGGAGTAGCTGGTAGTAAATTTTTTTCCTAAAAGTATAGTTCATTGTCAGTCTTACTGCATTGGTGTTACAAAGCAATCTGTAATACAGTGGCTTAAGAATAATGCATCTTCTGTTGTTGTAGCAGGATAAAAGTAGTGTGCTCATTTCAGGCTGATTAATGAATGTACAGTGTTGATCTGGTATATGCCTATTGTTGGAAGTGATGAAAAAATGATTAATTTCTTAATTAACCTTGAGAATGGTTGAGCTTTCCTTGGATGTATTTTTAAGGTCAGCTATTTTCTGTGCATGTGTTGGGTTTGGTAATTATTTTGAAGGGACTTGAAAATAATTTTTCCCTCCTTTCAGATAAAGGTGTGTAAATAACTCAGCCTGTGACTTGAGGAAAAGATACAGAGGAGCCTGTCTGATGTTACTGTAGTGGCATGGAGAGAAAGCTGAAAATCTTTGTTTTTAGTTTTTGGGATCATTTTGGTCAGAAAAAACCCATCAGATGTTGAAAGTAGCTGTTTTTATTTTGATGACTTAAAAGAAAGTGCCTAATGCAGCAAACGAGAAGCTACTTGAGCCTTGCTGCCAAAGGAACGGAGAAAAATGCATTGGCAATATTGATGGTGCTCCATATACCTAAAATGATGAACCTAAACTAAAAATCCAGAAAGAAAGTCTCAGTTTGGCCAGAAAAACTTGAAAAAAAAAAAAAAAAATCTGTGATGTTGGAATTCTGCTTGCTATGCTGTGTGTAATGCACTTCTGCCCAAGAGACTTGCCAAGGAGTTACTTCTGACATTTTAGTTTATTCTTTAGTGTTTAGAAAAATTAGATTGCTGTCAATTTTCTGTGTCTCATTTATTAATTTACAGTCAGGACATAAGATAAGGTTATATTAACCTGAATTGTAATCCCTTTTTCAGTGAGATTGTGAACTCAATAGTATTTTCTATATTTAATAGAAAACTGTTCACAGACAATGTTCATTATGATGTACCACTCTGCAGACAAAGAAATCTCATTTATGCCACTTGTCAAAGCTGTGTTTCTTCCCATTGTCTAGTTCTGCACAATGGGTGTGCTGTCTGTCTTGTAAGGGTCAGATTGTAAATATTCTCTATTCAGAAGTCAAGGAATATGTTTGCCAGAAAGCAAAAGAAAATTTTCATACCATCCTTCAGTATTAGTATTGTGCAAAGGTTTAAGATGTGTATTGTTACATTTGCTATTTCAAACACATTGGAGGGCAAGTACATTTTAGAAATACTGAAGAATAAATATGACATTTCATCAAATAGCAGTTTTTATGTACTTTTATTATTTTCT